TAAACACAATATGCCAACGTGATGTAGGCACGTTTGGGGGCGGGGGATGCTGTGTTTTTCCAGCAAAACTCTATGGTAGAAGCTAGAAGCTGGATCAATAAAGACTCAGATTTTGGAATCAGATGCTGAGTTTCCTTGAACAACTGGAATGCCCGTAAACTAGTCAATGCAGTGGTAGGATAGAAATATCAGTTCTTTGCGGCTGTCAATGTCACTGCACAGGTCTTCCAAGAGCCTCCACTGCATGATCTGTCCAGTTCAGTACAAGTTCTCTGCCAGAGTCATTCTAGGCATCCCTCAGCCCTCTTCAGGTCGCCCAGCTCTTGGCAAAAGGCACAGGCCTCCGGACCCACCCATGCTTCTCTGCCTATTCCAGGAAGGGAAACAGGAGCTCACCTCAGATCTTCTGCAATTGGCGGCCTTCACAATTAAGGCCCAAGGGCTAAGCTACATGGAGCCCTGGAGTTCTGTAACTGCAACACCAGCTTTAATTTTTGGCCCTAAAAAGCAGACTGGGTGGGAGGACAATACAGAGAAGGCCATGGTGCTGGGAAAGGGGGGGGGATTAGAGCTCACCCGCGTAGTTTCCCTGAGCAAAAACTGCCCTCAGAGGCTGCTTTAAGATTCATAAAAAGAGAAATACCTATATAGCCTTTCTTCCTTTCTGGAGTTTATATGCTGGAATGACAGAGTAATGGCACTAGGGGATGAGTTCAGGGCTTTCTCCTCCATCTCCACAGCCCAAATTCTTACACACACACCCAATACCCTCAGTGACAACTCCTAACAGCCAAATTCCATGTCTAGAGCTCCCGTCACAGAACTCAGCTCTAAGTGGATATTGCCTCAATATCTGTGGAGCAACACTGGCTAGAGATTGCGGTGAAGCAACAGAAATCCTAAATGTATTTCCTGGACCAGTGAACCCTCAAATGAGGCATATGAACAATTAACAATGTGGAAATTTCTGATCATTTTTTAAACAACATTTCCGTGATATGTAAATACAAGCAAATTGTGCAAAGAAGTGCCATTAGTGTGTCAGGGCGTAGGTCATGCAGTCCAAAACATATCACTCTCTTTCTCTCCCTCTCTCATATTTAGGATTTCTGTTGATTCACCGCAATCTCTAGCCAGTGTTGCTCCACAGATATTGAGGCAATAACCAACCTGTTTGCTCTTCTCTATAAAGCCTGTTCACCACTACCCAGCTGCATCACTCTTGGTTCAGTAGTCATTTGTGACATCGAAATCCAGCCCAAGCATCCACCATGAGGGTCTTCCTGATTGTTGCTGCCCTCTTCCTTGTCTTCCAGTTTGTTTTAGGTAAGTAAATGGGATGGGGGTGGTGGAGAAGAATATACTGGAAAGGTCTCCAGTGGCACATTGTACATATATGGAAAAGGAGGCAGAGCACCAAGAGAGTGCTCTCCCATTCTGAGCGGTCTAGTGAGCAAGGTGTAGTGGAACAGGACTTGCGCTGTGCTGACATAAGTTCCCTGTTCTCAGACATGAAGTTCCCTGGGTCACCCCAGCCACTCTCTCTCACAAGCTAACCGACCTCAAAAGGATGTTGTGAGCACAGACCATGTATGCTGCTTTGAGATCTTTGGTGGATGGCTGAGATGTACAGTTTGTGTTGAAGCTGACAGGCATTTCGGGCTGAGAGGAGCTCTGGAGATAACAATGCATTTGCATTCTCTGCCATCCCTTAAAACCACAGCCTTCTCCTTAGTTGCCCTCTGATCTCTCAGTCTTGTTTTCTCTCCTCTGGAGTGGCTCACTACCAAAGGTTCTGCTGGAGGCATCAGACTGGGGGAGGGGGGGGGACAGTGAAGTGGAAGGAAGTGACAGGTGTGGCTGGCTCCTGTTGTTTTGTTCCTGCACTGCTGCTGTTTGGGGGCCAAAGTGGGCTGCAGAAGTATTCCTTCTCCATGTCACTTTTAACCCTGCTGGGGGGGACATGGGAGGAGGGTGCTCAGGGTGGCTCATAATCTTATGCCGACACTGTCTGTCCCGTATAGAGACACGGAATCCAACACCCTTAATGTTGTTGTTTTTTTCCCCTTGTGCAGGGAGCAACCATGAGGTGGGTGTGAATGCCACGGTTCACCATCCTCCATGTCATGATAATAAGGGATTTTGCCTGCTGTTTGAAGAAAATTGTCCCTCAGGAAAAGTTTACGAAAAAAGATTTAATAATTGTCCTCAAAAAGGAAAGCAGAAATGTTGTGTGAAGGAATGAAACTTACGAAAACGATTGTCACTGTCAGCCGCTGAAAGATTTTAAAACAGGATTACATACATCCAATTTTTCAGTAAAAGACCTCTCCTCATAAGACTACGGTGGCTGACCATTCTTGGCATCTTTTTTTTAAGGTATGATAATATTGGTGTGCCTTTAAAAACTCTGTGAGTTGTATCGTTTTGTAAGGTACAATTAACACATAAGAATAACCGTGTGCCTCTGAAAAATATTGTGAGTTCCTTTCCACTTAGGGTTGAGTTCTGTGACAAGAACTGTAGACATGGAATTTGGCTGTTAGGGGTTGTCACTGAGGGTATTGGATGTGGGTGTAAGAATTTGGGCAGTGGAGATGTAGGAGAACTTTCCCTTTTTTTTACTCAGTCAAGAAGGGCAGTCAGATCATTAATTTACGCTCCACCCTGTTTCAGGAGCTTTCTTGACTCACTCCAACTTTTGTGTCAATGCAGATCTGGCTCACTTCAACCTAATTAAAAGATGTTAATCATGTTGCCTCACCCATGCTCCTTGTGTCCATGCAGATTCGGCTCACAATAGCCTAGTCGAAGTGTCTCCCCTCCCCCCCCCCCCCCCAGCTTTGACAGCAGATAACTTTAAGCCAGCCAGTGAGATCCAAATTCTATCTTGAGCCAATCATGTTCCTGGGAAAGTGGTTCCCATGTCCAGCTATGGAAATCTTCCCCACAAGAAACAGTCCCAAGTCAGTGAAAAGTGTGCCAGATTTGCCCACCACTTGACCCCCCCCCAACTGTGTTGCAGGCTCCCCCCCCAAGGTCATATGTCCCTTCCCTAAACACTTCCCAGTTTCCACCCCCCACCTTTTATTTGTGAGCCCTCTTTTTAAAGCTAACTTCCTTTCTCTGGGTCCAGTTTGGGTAACAAAGGGAGATACAATGGTGGGGTCCATGAATACCGTGTGTTTGGGGGATTTGCAGCCAGACCTCAGCAGGGACGGTTCTTGCTGAAATGGGGCCAGTACATAAACAATCCAAGACATCCCAAGTTGCAGAATATCCTCTGCCATGGAAGCTCGCTGGATGACCTTGGGCCAGTCGCATACCCTCGGACTGACCTACCTCAGCGGGCTCTTGTGATGACAAAATAGAGGAGAGGAGTACTACATAAGCCACTTTAGATTCCCATTGGGGTGAAAGGTGGGGTAGAAAATATTTAGTCACATTATTGATAGTCCGCCTTTCTCACTTGGACTTTAGGCAGTTTACACAGAGTGAGTCGATACCATCAATGGATGGGGCGTTCGTTAAAGAATGCAATAGGATTAGAGTTGTAGAACCATCCAGACGTCTAAGAACAGAACTGAAGCAAACCATCGGCATTATCATGACACATTAAATGGTGCCAAATCCCATAGCAGCATCCTAGCCTGAGCAAGCTAAAGTACAGAAAGCAGACCCTAATAATTGTTTTTAGTAACGTTGTGAGTGGAGCCTATGAACTGATTGCATTGCCTTTATGACATTATACGAAGTGAATGTGGTCCATGCGATTTGATCTCGGAGGGCTCATTCACACAGTCAAAGGCAGCAATTGACACTGCAATGAATATATGCATCTGACATGAGATAATTTGCATTGACAACAGAATGTGTGAATGGACATCACCAGAGTCAGCGGCGACCACTTTTCCATGTGTTCCTTCCAAGTTCTACTGAAGCACTTAGCAACCTGCAAACCTATTTGTAGAGCTGAGCACACCTATCCTTTACACAAAACCATTGCCTTCAGAACTGAACCCATGTGGCCATAACCTGGATAGACCAGGCAAGCCCAATCTCATCAGATCTCGGAAGCTAAGCAGGGTCAACTCTGGCAAGTACTTGAATAGGAGACCTTGGAATACCAGCAGTCGGGAGGACAGGGGCAGACTTTATTCAGCCACCTCTCTGAATATCCTCCAGGCCCCCAGTAGAGGTCAGTCAGCAGAGGTCACCACACACTCACAAGCACATACACACATGCACCTATTAAAAAAAGAACTGAACCCTTGTGAAAGCAGCTCCCACAGCACTGACATAGCGTTCAAGGGGATCTGAAAAGAATGACAGAAGTTCTGCCCATGATGGTGGAGCTCTGTCAACCCCCTAGGGCTGCCAGTCTCCTGGTGGGAACTGGAAATCTCTGGCAATTATGACTGACCTTCAGACTGTAGAGATCAGTTCCCCTGGAGAAAATGGGTGCTTTTGGGGGGAGGGTGGACTCTATGGCTTTATAGTCCATTGAGGTCCCTCCCCTCCTAAAATTCTACCCTCCCCAGGCTATACCCCCAAATCTCCAGATATTTCCCAACCTAGAACTGGCAGGCTTACAATTCACCCATACATTTGTTCATTTATGTCATGGTCTGTATATCCCACTTTTCCAAGAGTGTTCAAAACTGTTACCAATACACAACAAGTTAAAATACTGATCACCCATAAAAGCAAATTTAAAACAGATCAAAGAAAAAGCTATACTGGAATGACAAGGTTAATAACCCCAGTCAAGAAACAATTAAGGCCATTTCAGTCAGAGAATTCACTTCAAAGGGAACTAGCTCATTCTATATTCAGCCAAAGGCCTTATCCCAAAAAAAAAAAACCAGAACAGCTTTACAAGCTTGCCAGAAACTTAAAAGGGAAGGAAGATGTCTGGCCTCTTCTGACAAATTGTTTCACAATGTTGGTGCTACTACTATAAAAAACTGAGCATTCTCTTGGGCCAGCGAAACCTGACAGCAACTAGCAGCGCACTCTGGCAAAGGGAACACGAATGGGAGAGGCAGGTTTTTGGATTCCAGAACGTGAAGGTAAGAAGAACACCTTGAAGTGAGCTTGGAAACAGACTGACAGCCAATGAAGCTATTTTAGTACTGGCATAATGTGCTTGCACAACAAGGCTCTTATTAGCATGTATTCATATATAGCATGTGGGTTCAGCGAAGTTAGACCAGGAACAGAATGTGCAAGGTAAATGAATTTAAGAAGAAGAAGAGATAGGATTTATACCCCGCCCTTCACTACCTAAAGGAATCTCAGAGCAGCTTACAATCTCCTTCCCTTTCTCTCCCCACAGCAGACACCCTGTGAGATAGGTGGTGCTGAGAGAGCTCTTTCAAGAACTGCTCGTGAGATAAATGTTTGACTCAGTTTATAGAGGGATCAATGATGGAAGACTTGATGTACCTAAGCTAGTTGGAGGATCTCCTCTCTTGGGGTTTTAGTTAGTAGTGGGTTCTTTACTTTATCCCATATATGTAGTTTCCGCTCCCTTTTTTCTGTTGTAGTTTTTGTAGTGATTAAAAAATAATAAAAAATCCCCTCCGGGGGCTCAAAAAAAAAAGAAGAAGAAAAGAACTGGTCGTGAGAGAACAGCTCTGAGAGAACTGTGACTGACCCAAGGTCATGCCAGAAGCTGCGTGTGGAGGAGTGGGGAATCAAACCCAGTTCTCCAGAATACAGTCCACTACTCTTAACCACTACACCAAACTGGCTCACCAACCCCAAAACACATTTTTTTAACACAAAGCCTTTAGCTATACAGAACAATAAAGATTTATGCTGCTGAACACACAGATTGTCAAAGGGGACAGAAACTTGTAACACAACTGATTCTTGCTTGCATAATCTTTGCTGGTGAGCCAATTCCAAATTCGCCAATCCATCAGAGCACTGAATGCCATTCTCATGCAAAAGAAATTCAGTTCCAACTAATCAGGCAACCCAGAATCCGGGCTACAATCTGCAGCTTGAAAGATGTAGCCCTGGAATAACCATATACTTAAACAATAATTGAATTTTGAATTCAATATATTGAATTTAATCCCCCATCTATTGATTAAGTTTTTGCATATGGAATTTTCCAGTCGCTTTATACAGGGTGGTAAGAACCAAGATCCAGCCCCCCAACCCAAACTCCCTGTCTCTACTACCCTCTAAACAGAGCCTGCCCCTGCTTGTCTCGGCCACTCAGTTCCTGGGGGTAGCATTGGCATATTTTGCACTTTCTGAAGGTTCCAGGATGCCCTCAAGAACAGCCCCACGTACAGCACAATCATCTAGGTGAGCGGGTGCAGATGTCTGGGGCCAGTAGGACTGCTAGCTTCCAGGTGGGGCTTGGAGATCTCCCAGAATTACAGCAAATCTTCAGACTACAGAAATCAGTTTCCCTGGAGAAAATGGCTGCTTTGAAGGGTGGACTCAGTGGCATTATTTCCCACGGAGGTCTTTCCCACCCCAAACCCTGCCCTCCCAGGCTTCACTCCCAATTATTTTGGAATTCCCCAACCCAAAATTGGCAATCCCAGTGGCCAGGTCAGCAGAGTTTAAAAGAAGTAATTTGTGCATTTTAGGGAAATGAACGCATGCTGATCTTGCCACCATTCCCAGCTGCTACCCCAGTAATGAGGCTGGATCGAGGAGGACCCCTCAACTCTTAACCCTCCCTCTCAGCCCATGTCACCTCCATCTTGTCTAAATTCTGCATATTGATCCTTACCTACTTTACTCATTTACCTTATTTATAGTCCGAATTTCTCACTGACATTCAAGGCAGATTACACAGCATAAGTCATGACAACCAACAGGATGGGACACCATACAATCAGGTTAGGACTGCAGAAATCTGAAAACACGCAGAAAACAGACAAACCTGAAACAAAGCATACGTATTAACCTCACATGTTAAACAATGCAAAAAATCACATAGCAGGATCATACAAACAACTGCACATAGTATATACTGTACAGAGTAGCATAGTCCGACAGCCCTTATCCCTTTATTAAAGCACCTTTCTGAACCATTTTTGTTATAGTATGGCCCTCGTACCTTGGCACCAGTGCCCTCCTGAATAATTCTGCTTTGCCTAGTTTGCAGAATGCCCGGAGAGTGGGCGCCTTCCTGACCTCATCACATAGGCAAGTCTATAAGGTGTGGCCCAAAACAGAGAATACATGTGTATGAGCTAAAGCTCTGTAATATTTGCAAAGAGGAATGTGCCAGGCTCATGGAAAGAGTCTCTGGTGCACTGTCTGTGAGGTGTGTCCTTCTCTCTTGTCTGTTTCATATGGAGCTAAATGCGAGTCTCAGTTAGGGGGTAGATATGCTTCGATTCATCCACACTATAACTTAACAGCATTCATATGACATTGCTTTTGGCAGCTGAATAAAATCCACCTATAAAAGTAGTTGAATAAAATTAATTCTAAACTAAGGAATGGCCCCAATGGGACAGTCTTGCACCTTTGCCTGTCTTTACAGGTTTGCCTGGGTGATGGCATTGGAAGACCAAGCCAGGTGCACAAAATAGCAGTGCCAAGTAGGACAGATCTGGGGCCAAACGAGAACCAAGGTTGCTTGACTGGATCAATAGCCCCCACTGTGGCTATGGGTCCATCAGGATGGAATGGAACATGTCCCCCTTGCCTCCAGCAACAGTAATTAAGCAAAAACAGTAGCTAAGCAAAAAAGAAAAAGAAAAAAAATGTTATTCGTGTATAATTAAATCCTTGCACTCATATTGGGTGCAGATCAGTTTAGAAAAAATAGTTCAATTAGATAGGCTTAAAGAAGCAATTCTGGAAAAAAGAGAAAAATTGGAAGTCATGTCCCTTTACAAAAAACTTTTAACAGGGATTCTTATTGCATATGCTGAACAAAATAGGGCACCAAATGCTGCTGCCTAGAGCGAACTATTTTTCTGTAAATTTATAAGATTTCATGATTGTGGCCATCAATGTTCATTTATTCCCAGTTATGACATCTCAATGTTAATATGAACCCACAAAAATGTCTGAAAGCTTTACAGGTGGCACTTTGTAATGTTGGAACTAGTATAACCCCTTGGATCTTAACTGAGTCAGCAAAGGGTCAGTTGGACCCCTTGGGAGACACCTGAATACATGAAGCTGCGTTATACCGAATCAGACCCCATGGTCCATTAAAGTCAGTATTGTCTACACAGAGTGGCAGTGGCTCTCCAGGGTCTCAGGCTGAGGTCTTTCATGTCACCTCCTACCTCATCCTTTTAACTGCAGTTGCCAGGGATTAAACCTGGGACCTTCTGCATGCCAGGCAGATGCCCTGCCAGTGAGCCACAACCCCTCCCCAATCACAGCCCATCTCCATCAAAGGTGGGAAGCACAAGTCCTTCAAGAACGATCTGAAGCAGAGCCTGCAACATTCAGATATCTCATTAAAGAAATACAAAGCTGAGTCTCATCAGTATACTGATAACCAAAACTGTGGAAGTTCTTATTGTGAAGGACACTCTGTGATGGTATAACACAGATGAGTGTGTGAAATAGCCTACAGATAACATATTGACCAGAAGGGTGTGACGAGACATTGTGGCATATGTAGTGATCGATATTATCTTGCAATAAAATTATGTCCCAAGAAACTATTTCCCCAAAGAATGGCAGTGCAATATTCTTTCCGGGGTTTGTTAATTTACAATTAACCTCAAGCAATTAGCAAAGCAGGTTCCTATGTTTCATAATTAACTAGAATTTCTGGATACTTCCTCACTGACGCAAGGATATTATGCCATATAGCATGACACATTCTGAGATTCCCACAGAGCTTCTGTTTTTATCCAGTCTCCTTTCACCTCCGCGAGCTCTTCTTTCCAAGGACACTGAGATTCCAGCTGGGCATCAGTCATGAAGATCCTTTATGGTCTCCTCTTGGTCATCCTCTTCCTATTCCAGGCTCCTCCAGGTGAGCGATCCCCGTGGGTGCCTTGATATTATAAATGTCCTGCTGAAAACACACCATTGGTTAACCTGATAGGTTAGTTCCTAAACCCGTGGCTTATATACACATTCCTCTGTGCATTGTACAGTGCCATGAAAATGCAGTCAGAAAGCATGGAATACTGTATTTGGTATCAAGAGCAGCTTCCTAAGAATCTCAGGTTTCTTTTTCCAAACTAGGCTTGAGGCTATGAAGATAGGTCTAAAAGTATGTGGGCAGCATATAATAATATCCCAGAAGCCAAGTGCGTGGTGGAAATTGGATTTTTAGTGGGCAGGAGGCAGAGTGTTGTCATCTGGTAAAGGAACATGCTTCTTCTGGCTAGAAGGGAACAAATTAATAATATTTGGCATTTGTCTAGTGCTTTGAAGGTACTAAGACGGGGACAAGCAGCAAAGTTCATGGCAAAGACAAAATGAGAGCTTTTTTCCCAGTTACACTTGCTCATGAGTTATCTCCTCTCTTGGACTCTGCTGATCTACATGACTGTAACCGCAGAGCTGGACTGCTGTTAACAAGCTTTACATGAAGCTGTCCTTAAAGATAAGTCAGGCAGCTGAAAACCTTGCACTGAACACGTTTGGAATTTGAATGTGCTGTTTGGAACATTCACACATGGGCTGAAGACACACGGGTCTTGCTGAAGTCTGATTTGAGCAGTGCTTCAAAGTCTTGCTATGTGGTTGCAAAATATTGGTCCCGGTCACACGCAGAATTAGCCGCGCGATAGGGACGAATGCCGGGTGGATTTTATGGGCACGATCACACGGGAACATCTGGCAAGTGTCCCACACCCGTTGGCAACCCATATCGCCCCACCGAAGATGCAGAGTAAAATGATACCTGGGAAAGTGGAGTATTTTCCGGAAAACGCGGGGTGCGGGCGGGCATCTTATTGCGGAAGCACTGGCATCCCGTCTCATCCAGTGCCCATCTGCGTCCCGTCTCACACCGGATTTTTTTAAAAGCCTCCGTGATATGCGCACACACGTGGAACTGCGCATGTGCACAAACGCTGCGTGTGTGATCATGCCATGCGGCTTCTTTCTTCCCCCCCTTCTTTGCCACGCTTCACCATCAATGTGTGACCATGCTTCGTTTTGCTCCGGGGCAAAAAGCCTCAACCCCCCCCCCCCCGATTATCTTGCTCGTGTGACCAGGACCATTGTTTCTTTATTATTTGTGACCTTCTTTGGTGCCTGCAAAAAAAAAAAAAGGCATCAGCCTTTCCTAGGGTCACTGTTGGGTCATATTGTTAACGTTGTTCAATTGGGTCCCTCCTGTATATTCTCAAAATGGTGCCATTCCAAACAGATTGCTTTTCTTAGGGCAGAAGTTAGATTTTTATTTTTCAGAGTTAACTACAAGAGGATTATTTGGGGTAGGGATGTTAAAACAGATCAGGTGCGTCCATCTTATTAAAGTTGTACAATGGCGCTCATGCTCACCATCAGTGTTCCCTCTAAGCTGAGTTAGTGTGAGCTAGCTCACAGTTTTTTAGCCTCCAGTTCACAGATTTTTGTCTTAGCTCAGAAAGGATGGCTCCAGGGCAAACTAATTTATGCAGTAGCCAGATTGGTCGCTCACAACATTAATGCCAGTCACTCACAAAGTAGAATTTTTCCTCAGAAGACTCCACAGCTTAGAGGGAGCCTTGCTCACCATTGATCTGATGTTGATTCCAGGCCCCTCTGGGAGCAAACCTTGAAGGAGGACAGTGTCTGACAGAGAATTATAGAGCTGGGAGGCCAGGCCCATAGCCAGGATTTTGCAGCTTGTGGGGCAAATATTTTTCTGGTGGGGCTGCCATTATTTGCCATAATGAGGGGGGTGCACTCCCCTCTCCCTCCCCCCTGCAAAATTTAAAGGCCCTTCATCTGATCAGCGGGGAGCACATGGCCTGCCAGACAGCTGGAGGATCCCTTTAAACATTTTGGGAAGAAGCGGGGGGCCTTTAAGAAGTGGGGAGGGGGCTTTAAGGAAGAGGCTGGCTCTTTAAGGAAGGGGGCAGAGTCCCCAGTAGCCCCACCATAGCTACAGGCCAGGTTGGGACCAGTGTTTCCTCTAAGCTGAGTTAGTGTGAGCCAACTCACAGTTTTTTAGCCTACGGCTCACACATTTTTGTCTTAGCTCAGGAAGGATGTCTCCAGAGGAAAATAATTTATACAGTAGACAACTTTAATGTCAGTAGCTCACACACAACTTTAATGTCAGTAGCTCACAAAGTAGAATTTTTGCTCACAAGTCTTCACAGTTTAGAGGGAGCATTGGTTGGGACTAGAAAGAACCTCCGGCTCACTACAAGAAAACCAAGAGCAGGATCCAGCAATGCATGAGATGAAAAAGAAAGTAGCTGGGTGTTGCTTCCCTTTTGCAAGAAGTGGCAGTGTCAGGATTTGGGGCTGGGTGTTAATCCAACACAGGGATTAGAATAGGGCCAGAACCAGTTGGGGTGGCAGCAGTGCTCTTGGAAAGGAAATGACAAGGGAAGGATTCTGCCAGCTTCAGGATTGTTTCCTTCCCTGGACCTTCACCATCCCCTTCTAGGTACTTGTGGGGAGGGGGAAACAGTTAGAGGTCCCCAACCTTATTACAAAATCAATATCCCCCAAATTCCTTGGTGAGAAGCAACAGGGATTCAGCCACAGCTGGGAATGGAGACAACGCCATGTAGTGGTTAGGGCACAAACCTAGGATCTGGGTGGATTCCAGTCTGGAATACTGAGTGACCTTGGGCCACTCCTACTGTCTCACCTGCCACAGGGTTGTTGTGAGGATAACACAGGGGAGCATCAAGGAGGTTCCCACACTGCTTGAAGCCTCTCCCTGATGTCCACAGTTCAGGGGAAACTAGCATGTAATAAGAAAAGAAGAAATTTTCTGATGTTGTATTCCGGCAGGGGACAGTCACCTCATCACTTGTGCCTCCATGGGTGGATTTTGCATACTGCAGCCCTACCAGACTTGCCCATCCGGTGTAATCCTGGACATACCATGTCATTACAAAGCAAAATGCTGCTTGAAGAAGAAAGATGCTTGACCTAGGCCCTTTTTCCCGATCTCCTCTGCCAGTTGTCCACGTTTTCATGATCTGGTACAAGCTCAGCTGAACTGCAGAGGTCTCAGAGGGCAGGACTTCCCTCTCCACTCTACAACAAACACCGATGAATGGGCACCACTAATGTGTCAGAAATCTGCTCTGATTGACCAGTCCCTGTCTAGGATTTAGTATCATTAACAGTACATTTATTGATTTCTGTTTGGTCACCATCTCAAGTCATTCAGTGATGAACAATGTATTCAACCTGCCTTGAGGACCTGTTTGTATTGAAAGTTCAGCTGTAAATGATGATGATGACAATAATAATAATAAACCTATGAACATTATTTGGGACTCATTACTTGCTCAAGTGTAACTCACTAAGGTCCATATATCTGCAGGGAGAGTGGGCAGGTTCAGTGAGTTTTGACAGCAGAACTCCCACCTATGGTTATTAAGAATATGTAACTGCTGTTACTACACATGTACTTAAACACAGACATAAGAGAGGCAATACAACCAATGCACTTTAACATTTAAAATAAACTCTTTATATAAACAGAGCATGGAGGTTTTCATATAAATCCTCATTCACTTCTGGTTGGTTGCTATTACTTCATAGCAATGAATCTTCAGGATATTACTGAGTACAGATATCTTCAGCATCCACAAGGATGCACAGAACAGAAAAAAATACTAAGCACATAGATAATACATATATTGTAGGTCCATATGTTGTAAGCTCACAGATACTGGAACAGCATATGAGGTTTCCAGGCTGTACTTGGGATGCTGCAGCTGTTCTCAGTTGACTCCAGGATTTACCTGCAATAATTCAAGGCAGGCCTTAACACAGCAAAGTCTATATAGGCCTCTCCCCAAGATGTTGCCTCTTTCTGGGCCAGGCTGAACTGCTGGCTGCTGGGAATACCCAGCCTCCTTTACGGAAGGCTACAAGCACTGAGCATGCTCATTAACTAAGTATAGAAGGGGGGAAAGGGAGTTAATTGCCACACCACCTATTGGCAAAAGCAGGCGTTCCTGATCCCTGTATGCTGTTAACAGCTACAAAACTGCATGGGTTACACAAACACAAGGGAATGTTTGCCAGTCCCATCAATGAGGTAAAATGTTTATGATGTTACCCGCCCTGAGCCCACTTGCGCGATGGGCAGACTATAAATGCAAATAATAAATAAATAAATAAATAAATAAATAAAATAAAATCAAGATTTGCAGTTGAGATGTCATTGCAGCAAGGAACCAAACCTGCCTTCAGGCACTGACTCTGTATGGTCTAGTCATCACGGAAAGGGGTTCCTGGAGGGAGGGATGCAGAGTATCTATCTCTATGTCATGCAGTGCAGGTTGCAGAAAACCTTGCAACACTCAGACAAAACCCTACACCTACGTATAGCCAGGAGGACTTTGTAGTACCCCACCTGTTAAAAGTTAAGGGTCACTAGCTAGTAAAGAAAGGCTAAACTGATCCATGTTTTCGATCATGTCTGCTTTCTAGGTTGAAACTGGATTAACTTCCATTCTTCCTTGTGACAAAATCCAAAGCATTATGGAAGAGTGAGGTAAAATACTGGTTGTGTAAGCTGCCCTGAGCCGGCTCTGCTGGAAGGGCGGGGTAAAAATCTAATAAACAAATAAATAAAAGAGTTGTCAGGCACCCACACAAAATGACAATGCCTTGGGGAACACTATGCTGGTGAAATCAAATTAAAAGCTCAGTTTAAGATCAATTTAAAGTCTGCAACCCTACATAGTCTTCTTTGGGCTTAAGTACCACAGAGCACAGTGGGACTTCTTCACTGTAAAAATGCAAATGACTTGGATTTAAGATTGATAGTGCCAATGTCTCTCATTAGTCAACATGTCAAATGCAGCTGGACAACAAAAGAATTACGCAGGAGAACTGTGATCATTCTTTGAGATTTTTATTTTGCTACTTTCAAGATATATAAATCCCATCCTTTATGACAGAAAAAAAACTCCTGCTTTTGCCAGAGATATTATCAAGGTATGTTGATAGCTTTATGTTAGCAAGGAGATCTGGGCTGTCAACATCTTTGCCCTTTGGAGTCAGCAGCTCTCCAGTGATGGTCCTGGTGGTCTTCTACTTTGTGCAATATGAAACTTCTTTCTACCTTCCCTTTTGAAGATCCTCCATCTTCTCTTTGTTGGATAGAATCCACATATCACATCATATGAGCTAGCATACCCAAAAAGCTGTGAGACCTGAGAGCCCTACCATCATGGAAAGTGAGGTGATCACCTTAGACTGAAGATTTGGGGTGCAAACAAAGGTAGCAGGAAGGGATACAGGCAGATCTGATCCTTGAGTTATCCTTTACCAACCCTTTTGAAAGGAAATGGGCCTTTTGAGTGGGATTTAAAAATTATTTTTATAAACAAATGCACATTAGTGAATATATCATGGTTATTACAAAACATTACAAATATATTAAGGTCTAATCCCATCCCCGACTTGATCATTCCACACCATTACAAACATCAACATTTTCTCAGCAAATTTATCTGATCGTATGTTAACATCTTTAAGATTTCTACAGTGGTATGTTAGTTTAGACATAACATCGTTGAACATCGTTTTTGCAACTGGGTGATACTTTTGCAGAACTATGCAATTAATTGTTCAATATATTAATTACTGGGATGGCATGTGCAAATTAGATTTGCCTTCAAAATCACCAAAATGCACTGGAAAGAGTATAAGAACATCAAACACTGGTACAGAGAAAATTCTAGAAGATGTGTGGAAGATTTATTGAGCCATATAAGTATTAGAAAAGCCACATGTATTTCTGGCTTCAAAATATTTCAGAAAATTTATTTCAGAAAAAAAATATTTTTAAAAGCCCATGGGGCACAGCTGACTTACAGTAAAATGGTCCGTTAATCAACATGGAAAGTCAGAGTAGACTGTTTAAAGCAACTGTGTCAATGCCCTTTTTTAAAAAATGTGACTACACTTGGCAGATAATTTCCCTCAAAAAGGTGCACAATCTAGCCTCTTTTTTTTAAAAAAAAATGTGTCTACACTTGGCAGATAATTTCCCTCAAAAAGATGCTTTGCTGTCAGATATAGTTTAGGAGTTTGAACACCTACTTGTTTAACATGTCTTTTCTGCATTTTATCACATTTTCTGTGTAACACACGTCTTGGACCAGCCGGGTCAAGAAATTGAAACGTGCACAATCTAGCCTCATTGTCTGAAGTAGACTGTCTGTGAAGACTGTGGAGGGGAGGCAGTTAAGAAAAGCAGAGCCAGCTGAATAAGTCTTTGGCCCTTTCTGCACTGACAGCTTGCTCCAGAGAGTTCGAGGAGTCAAGCCTTAAAGGTTGACTTTGCAGTTGCACGCATTCGCTCTGCGCTGGTTTTTCCCTCCTCCAGTTTATTTATTTGTGTATTCTGTATACATTCTGCATCTACAAACAAAACCCACATTTTTTAGCTAACTGCTGCTTTGTCTAAGATGAAGAGAAAGGCAAACATCTTTCAAAACTTTTAACTGCGAACTCAATCCCTCCCGAGAGGACACATTCTATTTTGTGTTTGGAGAAGGAGGGAAAGAAAACAGAATGGGGAGGGAGCATCAACCTAAAGAGAGAGAGAGACTGAAATGGGGGAGAGCAGTGGGCAGCACTTAAATACCTGCAGAAACAAGTCTACCTTAGAAAGGATTAGTGATTTGAAAGCGGATGAGAACAAAGCATCACAGCAAAAGGAGTTTTGGTAACTGAAGGGCAACAGTGTGCTGGAAACGGTCTGAATGCAGATTCCTGTAAAACAAATGCAGAGACAAGAAAAAGCCCCAACACAAATTGGAAGTGAAAGCAGGAGAGAATGCAGAATGGATGAATAGGATGCACTCAGAAACCAAGGTAAAATATGGGTACAGAAAGGGCCGTTAAAGGCTGGGGCTGACCAGGGCTGCTGGCCCTTCAGCTCTTAACCTGTCATTCACAGACATGGCCCAGTTTGAGAGATGGGGGCTGAAGCAACCCAAGACAACCTTAGGGCACATAATCTCTTTCAAAGCTATACTGACTTGTATGGGGTTTTTTTTAATTTCATTTTGTTCTATATACTTTGTTTCATAAGCTGCATACACACCCAGAATGGGAGAACGGCATTCAAATACATAAATAAAGTCCAGAACAAGAAGATTCATTTTGTTCTGATTTCCTAGAGTTTCTTGGCAACTATAACAAAAGAGATGCAAATATTCAGAGGTGCCAAAGGACAACCGAATCCCAGAGGAGTCTGAATAAAGGATGGGGGAGGGGGGGGTGTTGCGTGAAATGGCAGTTCCTTTATGAAAAGGGTACATACCTTTTTTGGTATTCAAAACACTTTCCAACACTTGGCAGCGTAATCGGAGTGAGTTTCACACATCTTGCATATGAAACTCTCTTCTAACAAGTCAAGCGATGGTTATGCCAAGCTCAGCATTGTCTGGTCTGGTTGGCAAAGGTTCATGCAAGATTCTTGTGCAGCTTTGTTACCTGAGTCTTCCAGACAGATAGACAAGGGACCAAACCTTGAACTGTCTGCAAGTCAGGCGTGTAGCACTGAGCTACACCCCACTGCCTACTCCCTACCTCTTTTGGTTCCTTCTAAAAAGGTTCCTGTCCACATCCCTAGGGTATCACTCTATGCCCCATCTCAATGGATACGTCCCATCAATCACAACTCATTGACTGAGCACAGCCATGCCTACTCTGGCTGATGGCAGCTCCCCAGAGTCTCATACAGAAAAAGGTGGCTCCTCAGCACCAGTCAGCAGAGATCACTGAACCAGAGATATCAGGGAATGAACGTGGGACCTTCTATCCTCTACAAATAAGATTTGGCCTTCCCACAGGGTTCTACAAAGACCAAAGAAGGAGATGAAACAATCCACCACAAACAAAAGGACAGTATCCAAAGAGGCAGAGGGGGAATGATTTGTTTCAGAAATTCATTCAACTCATTTCAAGCCCGAGTTGCTTGTCAAAAGTATACTGAAAAGCATAAATCCATCTGTGGGAGTAGTATTTTCTTGAGTTGTCCTTTTTAAAAAATACATTCATCAAAGTATGTAGATTTAACATCAAGACCCTTTATACCATAAAATCTATCCCCTTAAAATAAAGAGGGATGTTTGAAGACCGGCAGATAACTTTCTATTCCATAAATAAAAGTGTGTCTGGTGGCCAACACACAAAAAAATTCCTCTCATGGACACAGCCTTTTGTTGGTTCTTCAAGGTGTTGCTTCGAGGTGTTGGCTCTTT